CAGCGGATACACGGACAGTACAACACAGAGTGAAACTTGATGTAACTGCCGAATCAGGCGATAAAATGTATCGGTATTGGGTCATTAAGTGTAACAAATGTATCACCCTGATACAAGACGCTACTGGCGGGGACACCCTGGGGAGCGGGGCTGGGAACTCTCTGCACCGTCCGCTCACTTTTTTTTTGCACCATCCGCTCACTTTTTCTGTAGATCTCAAACTGTTTCAAAATTTTTATTTTTAATTTGAAAAAAACAACTGAACAGAGGATTTGAATTTGCCAATTACAAATGTCGTTTGTACCCTGGGTCTCCTGAATTAGGAGACAGGGGGGAACAACCACTTCTGTTGCTGTCTTTCTAGATTTCTGTTCCAAACTCTGGGGCAGCCTAGCAGCCCGTCCCCCCTGTGGGGCCCATCTCACATCTGTACAATGGGAGGGTGTCATTCCTACGTAAAGGGTGGCTGTGGAGATTAGGGGTCGTCCACGGAGGTGCTTGATAAATGTCAGATTTTTTTCAGCCATCGTCACCTAGTTCCATTGCTCTCTTTTTGCCCTCCCCGGGGGCCCTCTTCCTGCAGCCGGGCTCTGACACTCTGCCCAGGCCGCCTCCCCCTCAGGCTCCGAAACCCCGCTGAGCTGTCCCCACGTGGGCCCCTCGTGGCCCTCAGGCAGGCTCCCACACCCCCTGCTGGGCCGTACCCCACACGAACGCGCTCTGGCAGGTGACACGCCGCTCTGAGCTGAGTTTTTTTGACGCTTGCCGAAAATTTTCACGGGCAGTGCGTGAAGTGAGCCACCTGCCGCACCCTGCCCGCCAGGCCGGCCACCTGCACCGCACTCTAGGGCGTCTCCGCTCCTCCACCTGCATGGACACCTTCTAACTCTGCCCTACCTCGTGGCTTTCGGACTGAACTGCTGAGAATCGGAAGGGAACGACAGGGAAAGTGGGAGAGAATCCTAACTTTACGGAGCCACGTGTGTCCTGCGCTTCCATCTGCGCTCTCGAGCTGCGTCCTGAAAACGTTTGGGGCAGAGGGAGTCACTGGAAATTCTGGAGCTAACGGATGTTTCCTTCTTCCTGAAAAACTCCAGACTCGGCTCAAATATTAACACCTATCTCCCCCCTGAAGGCGGTGCTTACAATTCTTTCAATTAAAAAAAATGTACCTTCTTACTTCCCGCTGTCCCCTGCTAGCAATTCTGTCCCCTCCTCCCATTATTAAGAGTTCAGGGCACCTTCTTCCAAACTTCCCCGTTGCTCCACACCCACGGGTCTCTTTGCTGGTTTAGAAAGAACATATTGCATAGTAAAGTGGTAGACAGACCGAGGTGGCTCCCTGGTCCCACCCCCCCATCCGAGACCTATGTAATTATGCGACCCCCCCTTGAGTGTGGGCAGGACCCCTGGTTGCCTCCTCTGCCCAGGGGAATGCTTCAAGGTGGCGGGATGCAGGTTCCTGTAAGTGATTATATTTCGTGCCATTGTGATGTCACAGCCAACGGCAGGGCAGGGAAACTCCAGGAGTGGGCCCCGCCTCTGAGGCCATGATGCAGCTGGGAAGGGTGGCGGGGTGGCGGGCACGACCATTTGGAGCTCTGGGACTGGACCGACCACTTACGACCAGGGGCGGAATGTTTAATAGAGGGAGAGGCCGGTGCGCCCACCGGCCACCGGCCTCCGGTTTCTGCTCCTCGGTCCTGCCGCAGCTGTGGAGGAGGCGCCGGCTGGTGCGGGCGTCGGGGAGGGTGGCATGGGCAGCCGGAGGCCTCGCGTGGGGGTTGTGCCAGGGGTGAGGGCTCTTCCGCGTGGGTAACCAGGAAGGCTCCCGGGAGCCGGGGGAGCTGGCTGGAGGGACCCCCCCCAGGGCCATGTTGTCTCTGGCCAGGGGCAGCACCCAGGGTGAGAGAGGGAGCTGGAGGGGGCCTCAGCCACCAGGTGGAGCCCTTGGACTTTCCTGGAGGGTGGAGGTGGGGGAGGGGAGGTGCCGGCTCTCCCAAGAGGACCGGGCCCCGCCTGCTGGGTGCCTGGGGCAGGCCTGGCCCCAGGGGAATCGCCACCTCCCGAGGCTGCCTGTGCTCAGGTTCCAGGGCCAACTTTGTAGGCAGACTGACAGCCCTGGAGTGCACCCTGTCCTGCCACCTGGGGAAGTGACTTGGCCATCCCCTGCCTCAGTTTCCTCACTGTGAAGGAAAGAGAGCCCCTTTTGGGGGCCAATCCTGACTCTCACTTCCACCTTGGCCTTCCGTGTGGACTTGCATCCACGGAATAACTAACGTCCCCCAGCCGCGTGTCAGTGTTGCTCGGGGCGCTGAAGTGGGCTGGCTCCTGCCACCAGAGCAACAGGCCCGGGAGAGACTCTCCAAGGCCCCTCTACTGGGCAGCCCTCCAACTCCCCAGGAGGGCCAGGTGTGCCCTCTGTGTGCCACCCTCTCCTCCTCCCATCTTCCTCGAGCCGCTCACATCTCACCCTCCCAGAGGGCAGGGCGGGCAGCTTCAGCTTGGAATCCCCACTGGATTGGCAAACAGTGGGTGCTCAATGAATGCCCGATGAACTAATGCTGAATAGGACTTTCCTGCAGGCCAGGAGTAGCCACCTGGTCACGGTAGTCTGGTGGCCTTCAAGGCAGGGGACAGCCCAGGGCTTGGACCTGTGGTCCCCTAGATTTACACAGGCCTATGTGGAGCGCTCTCCATGGTGTTTGCCTCCTGTGAGCATTCTGGAGCCCAGCTCTTGGCCAGGACCCACTGGAAGGGTCTGCCCTGGCCTGGAACAGCTTGGCCTGTACCCCAGGAAGGGCTGTTGGCCGGGGGAAAATGTGCAGGCTTGAGTTTTGAGGGATCCCTGGCGGCAGCAGGGGCCCGGGCAGGAGAATGGCTTGCTTACAGGAATACTTAGGATGGTTTCCAGCTCAGGTGAGCAACGATGCCCTTGGAGTCCCTGGCTGGGGCTGGGGGACAGGCAGACCCTGTGACATCCCCATTCCTTGGATGTAAGGTTACCAGGCTGATCACAAAGCTGAGCCAGCCCTGTGCATGGCCACTTGTCCTACCTGCCGGGGAAGGAACAAGGCACCCGGTCTGTGACAACGCCCTCTGAGCCCTGGCTCACGTGGGTCTAGGACTCTGGCTCCTGGATGAGACTCAACCAGCCAGGGTGCGGAGCCTGCCCTTCACAGAGCAACCTGCCCCAGAACAATGCTGCATGCTGGCCTGGAGCTCAGGACCAAAAGGGCGACAAGTTACAGGCCGCCTTCCCAGACACAGCCAGGGCCAGTCCCTGCGGTCACCTGTGCAGACAGACTCGGGTGTGTGAGGGGATCCGCCAGGGAAGGGGGAAGCGGGAGGCCTAGGCTGGTTGGGGCCCAGCCATCTGCTCACAGCTCGGCTCAGCCAGCGGAGGCCTGAGGGGAAAGGGCCACTGGGCCTGTGGGCCAGCCAGTGAGGAGAGACGGGCTGAGGACAGGCCAGGGCAGAGTGGACATTCTGGTCCCTTCTCCCCACCCTGTGTCTCCATCCTTGGCTCTTACGTTATCTCAAATGATCTGGGAGTTACTCTCCTGGTCTTTATTAGGGGCCATTTGAAATCCTTCTTGGAAGGAGGAGAAGCTAAGTAAGAGGAGCTGCTACCCAGGCCTGGCTCGGGAGACCTCTGTGATGGGGAACTGGGGTCAGACAAAATCAGTCTCTTCCTCAGGCTTCGGGGTGGAGACCCAGGCGTGGCCGCCCCTCCCCCACCCCAGATCCACGACACGCTCTTCTGTCTCCCCATTTCACAGATGAAGCAGCCAAGCTCCAGAGCATCCCATGCTTGCTCCCAGTGGCAGGTAGCAGCCGCAGCTGCAGGCCCGGCCTGGGCACACAGCCCCACATGCCGTGAGCTCTTGCCACCTTGGGGCAGGTGGGCAGAGAAAGGTCCACTTGTACGCGATTGTGATGCTTTTGATTACCTGTGTGGACCACGGGGGCACTAGCCGTGGGGATCTGCATGCAGAGAGCCAACAGTAGTGATGTGGGGATTTGCGACTACAGGGCAGGCGGGTGTCCCAGCCCCTCCTGGCGTTGTTCAAGGGTCAACTGTAGATATTTATTAATGTTTTTATTGATTTCAGGGAGAGGAAGGGAGAGGGAGAGATAGAAACATCAATGATGAGTCATTGATTGGCTGCCTCCTGCACACCCCCTACTGGGGACTGAGCCCGAAACCTGGGCATGTGCCTGACTGGAAATCGAACCCTGGTCTCCTGGTTCATAGGTCGGTGCTCAACCATGCAGCCTGGGCCAGCTGCAGTTAGAGAGCGCTGGGCTAAACCCTGACTCTGGCCTTCAGTGGCGGGTTGTCTCCTCTGTGCCTCAGTGGACCTGCCTTAAAAGTGAGGATTGAAGCTGATCTCCTGGGGTTCAGGGGGAGCTCAATGAGTTACCTGCATTAAGTAGGACAGCAGCTGGTAAACGGCAAGGACACAAGTGTGTCTCTGAGGGCCTTTGGGTGTTGGGGACAAGGAGCCCGGACCCCAGGGCAGTTGGACAGAGGAGAGCGGGCCCTGCACTCACTGGGGTTTGGGGCTCCCCAGGTCCAGGGCGACCTGGGTCAAGGTGCTAATAATGACCACCCTGCCACACAAACTTGGGTCCCCATGAGGCGAGTGCACAACATGTGCAAGGTCATTTGGAGTTGGGTCTGGCAGGCCCAGGCTGACCTGGCTACAGTGTGTGGCTCACACGGTGGGTGCAGATTTCATGTCCAAACCAAGCTCTAGCGGTCACCACCTAACGGTCCACAGGAAGGGGGTGAGAGGAAGGGTTTTGTCTCCACACGGTACCAATGGCCCCCTGAGGCTGGCGCTCCATCTGCTGAGTGTGGGCAGGTGTGGGCTCAAGAACGAAGCCCAAGGAGGCGGCCCAGGCCCAGCAAACCCCAGGGCCTCCAGGACCTCACAAGGGCTTCCTGTGGTGACGATGGGCCGGGCAGGCCACACAAATGGGGAGACACGGTGTCAATGGAAAGTGGTCATTGCTTTAATTCCTGCCAGGATCTGACACATCTGCCCCGCCCCACCCCGCTGCCGGATCCCTGACTGCTCGTCACCGTGATCGTTTACAAAAATAAATATGAAAAAAAGCAGCAACTCTTTAGTGATCGTGGAATTAATCTGACAGTAATTACATATGTTTAAGCATCTGGCATGTCTCCTAAATTGCACCAAAGAGTCTGGAAGCACTTGGTTTGGTCTCGGAGGGAAAAGGGAAGGGGACGAAGGGCCCAGCGCCCCGAGGGCCGGGCTGGAGCGGAGGGCCAGCCTCACATTTCCGAGTCTGCATACATCCCGTTGATTAAATAGTCCACCTGCGTGTAGCCCTTCTTCTTGTAGCTCTCGTAGGCTTGCAGGGCAAACAGAACCATGACTGCGAAGAAAAGGGCCACCCCCAGCAAGAGCACCGCCAGGAGCGCACTTCTGTTCACCGAGGTCAGGGGGAGGGGCTTGGTGGTGACCACCAGGTACTGGCCTTGGGTGCTGAGCTGGCACGAGTCTGTGGTTGGCATCTGAGGTTCCCCTGAGCTCCCGGATGTTGGCCTGGTGGAAGCAGTACCACCTGTGGCCTCAGGCTGCACCTGCTCCGGTGTGGGGGGCGTGCCTGGCCCCATATCCCCCCGTGGAGGTGAAACAGGACTTGGCGGCGTTGTGGGGGACGTGGCCTCCACCCCAGGTGTGGGGCTGGTGTGAGGTGCAGGAGCTGGCACTGTGCTGGCAGCTGGCCCCTCAGCCGGTGCCTTGGTGGCTGTCACCACCGTGGTGGACGTGGAAGCCACGGAGGAGGGGGTGGGTTCTAGGGTTGTGTTCACGAGAGGCGGGGTGGGCCTGCTTGCCACGTCTGCCACGGGTCGGGTAGTGGGCAGCTGGAAGGTGGGGCCTTGCGTGGACGTGTTAAGTGCTTGGGGACTGGTGGGGGGCGTGGGACTGGCTGTGGAGTGATGGGGGCTGTGCTTGGCAGGGCTCTGCGTGCCCGTGGGGCTGCCGGCACTTGCCGTGGTGGCGGCAGCAGTGTCATTGCTGGTGGTGGCAGCAGTCTGAGTGCTGGTGGCCAATGTCGTCAGAGGTGCTGCTCCTGGCAATGTGCTATTTCTGGGCAGCTGGGCAGGGGCTGTGCTGAGGGCGGCCGTGGAGGGCAGGGCTGGCTGTGTGGATGCTTGGGAGGGCGGAGTGGGCGCTGTGGAGGCCGCGAGGTCAGGGGAACCCACCGCAGTGGCCGAAGCACCCGCGTCGGGCCTGTGTGCGCTCCCTGCCGAGGCTCCTGCTGTGACCGGAGAGCTGTGGTTGGCTCCCGGAGTCCCTCCGGCTAACGGGACGGGAGAGGGTGTCGTCACTCTTTCAGGTGTTTTCTTAAAGGTGCTGTTAGCCGTTTCCCCGGGTGCGCTGTTTGAGACTAAATCGCCCTGCGTCAGGTTGAGGGCCACGGTCCCTTAAAGTCAGAAGGGGGAGAAAGAGATACGATCACCAGGCTGGCGGCTTCGCTGGCCCCGCGCCTCGGCCCAGGGCCGTCGGGAGGCGTCGGCTTCCCCCACCGCCTTGCTGCCCGCAGCCCCCGCAGACGCAGCCAGCTCTCGGCCCTAAAACTGCTCTGCCCTTTCCAACCCCGAGCCCGTGGGAGGCTTAAGGGCTGCACTTCATCCAATTCCCCGAACAGCAGACAGAACGAAAGCCTCACGTCGCAGGTGTGACCGCCCATTAAACTCTCAAACACGCCGGTTGCGGTTCCGTGGCAGGCAGGCCGCCCGGCTGTCCCCACTGCGGGAGAGCCCTCGGCTCCGAGGCTGCAGCAGGAATTCCCGGGGTGGGCGCCCGGCAGAGTGGGAGCGCGACTCAGAGTCTGCGGGCTGCGTGGGTGATTCCCCAGCAGAGACTAGGTTTCTGAACGAAGGAGATTTTGCAGGACCAAGCAGGTGACCCTCTCAGGGCTCCGAGGCCCAGCCCCGGTGGGGGCTCCGTACCCTTGGTGGGCCTGGAGAAGCTCAGCCTGACAGCCCTTCCCAGCTCGGCCCTGGGGAGCTCTGGGGCTCCCCACTCCCTGGCCAGGCCTTGCAGACACCCCTCGGGCTGAGGGTGCTCTGGGGCCACTGTGGGCCTGTCTAGCAGTCACCCAGCTTTCTCACTTACCTGGATCCTGGGATGCCACCTGGCTTTCAGAGAAGGGTAAGGAGGAAATGCAGGCGAGCACAAGGGCCATCCACATCTTGTGGGTGTGCCGGGAGCAAGGCTGGGTCCCCGAGGCTCCCAGCCAGCCTCTCTCAGGCTGCTAACGACGCCCAGCTACTGGCTGAGGGATCTGTGGTCAAAACACAAGGTATCTGGTCAGTAACGCACAGCCGGGCCTGGGGCCTGGGGTGCCCCCCCAAGCCAAGTGCCTCAACCAGGCCCAGCGCCCAGGAAGAGCGCCACGTGTCTCGGCCACGTGGTCTAGTGACCTGACCACTGTGATGGGTTAAAGCACTTCCTGACCCAGTTCCACTCTGAGCCTCAACTCCTGCAGTACCCCCCACCCCACCCCAGAATTCAGAGTCTGCAAGAGCAGTGGAGAGAGGGCCAAGGCATTCTGATCACCACGGTCGGCCAAGTCTTCCTCAACTTGTCCTGTGGCCCACTGTACCCCTGCGCACCCGCGAGGGCTGACCATGCCCTTCACGTGGAGATGCCACTTAGCCAGGCAGCGAATCAACCATCTATCCACCAATCCATCGCCCAGTATTTCGAGGCAGCGCACTTGGGACAAAAAGGTGAAAGCCACACGGTCCCCTCCTCCAGGAAGCCTGCCATCTAATGGGGGACAGAGGAGAGAGGTCACTGCCACTGCAGGCTGGTGCAAACACAGGGCGGAGGTGTGACTCGGAGCAGGAAGCAGGGAGGAGATGGCACCTGGCAGCTCTTGAAGGGTAAGTTGGAGGCTGGTCCTCTGGGTGGCTGGGCGAGGGTGGGGGAGGACAGGGTGCTGCAGGGACCCAGAGGAGGCATTTAACTCAGGCAGGTGGGTGGGGGTGCCAGGGAAGGTTTCCTTGGGAAAGCGACACCTGGGCTGTGCTCTAAAAGACAGATGTGATCCACCTGCTGGGAGGCAAGTGGGAGGAAGCAGCAGATGAGAACAGCAGGGCCAGGGGCCAAGGGACAGCGTGGTGAGACCGGGATTAGGCTAGAGCAGGGGGCCGCCAGGTGGTGATGGGGGGCAGATGCCGGCAGGAGGGGATGAGGCGCAGGGAGGCTGTGGGACTCGGTACGGGGGCGCCACTGTGAGAGACAGAGGGCAGGCTGAGAGCCTGGCCGCAGAAGCCCAGCTGCCTGTGTGGCTGAAACTTCTCAGGTTTGGAAAGTTACGCAGCCCTACGAACCACAGATTTGCATCTGTCTTCTAGAGAGCAAAAGCACTCTTTGTTTTGACAGACGAGCGGGGGTGGGGTGGGGAGAGAAGAAACAGACACCATCATGAGATGGAAGAGCCGAGACGAAAGTCTGGGGCACAGAGAACTCGCACTCCCATCAGCCGAGGCCGTGCAGCTGGGCGCTCAGTAAATGAATGTATTTAAACAGCTCTCTCCGGCCGGTCACATCGGCTGAATGCGTGGCCCTGAGCCTGAGCCTGGAGCTGGGGTCCGCTGCGCTGGGATGAGGTGCCAGGGGCTTCCTGAATGCATGCCAGGCCTCAGGCCCTCTGATGTCCCCTTGCTACAATCTCTAGAGCAGAGTTGGCAAACTTTTCCTGTAAAGAGCCAGGTGGCACCCTCGCTGGTTTGGCTCAGCGGTTACAACGTCGGCCCAAGGACTTGAAGGGTCCCGAGTTCGATTCCAGCCAAGTTGCCAGCTTGATCCTAGGCCCTGGTTGGGGTGCGTGTGGGAGGCAACCAATCGATGTGTCTCTCTCACATTGATGCAAAACAATGGAAAAATATCCTCGGGGGAAGATTAATAAAGAAGAGCTAGATGGCAAATATTTCAGACTTTGTGGGCCGTGCAGCCCTGCAGGATATGTACACGATGGGTGCGACTGTGTCCCAATTAAACTTTGTTTACGAAGACAGGTGGCAGCCAGGACTTGGCGCATGGGCTCTAGCTCACTGACCCTGCTCCAGCGTAAACTTCAGAGTCCCTGGGTCAGGGAGGAACTGATGCCATGTGCCCGATGGAGTCCCTTCTGCCGCCTCACCCTGGAACAGCAGCGGACCATGTCCCTCCGGGTCCTGGGACAGGTCTCCTCCCAGGGCCCCTTCTGCTACGTGGCACCTCCTTTACCCCCAGCATCAGTGAGGTCTGTGCACGAGAGGGGCTCCCACCAGTATTGTGGTATCGCGACACAGGCCGAGAATCCTTTGTGGTGACCGACATCTGTGTCACAGAAACAGATGAGGGCCACAGACGACCACACGGCCCCCACCTGTCCCCGCCCATGGACCACCTTCCTGGAGGACCTCAGGAGGCAGAACCTCTGGCACGAAGAGCCACAGACTGGGTCGCTCCTGGATACTGGGAGGCTCGGCCCTCTGGGCTTGGCGGGCTTTCCTTTCCCCTCGATGCTCCCTGAGCTTGCAGAGCCCCCTCGGGGCCTCAGGCACTCACCAGAGGCAGGTGCTCAGGGCGTGCTCCCGGGCAGGGCCATGGTCCTCTTTGGAGAGCTGCGGGCTTGGCGCTGTGTGCTCGCCAGGTGAGGTCTGGCTCTGCAGGAGGCGAGGGCAGCTGCAAAGAGCACTCCCAGGCCACGGCATGCTTTGTGGAGCGTGTGGGACAAGGGCAGACGCTCCACTCTGGCGACAGTCGCATCTAGGGTTTAAAAAGAGTAAACACTCCTCAGGAAAAGGGGGTTGGGGACTGACACATCCAGTGAGGAGGGAGGCACTGAATAAGCAGCGTTCAACAGATCATTACACCGGGAAAATGATACTATGTATCAGAACCCTCCTGTCCCAGCTCCCCATGTAGCACTTCCTACTGCCAGAATTGCGTCCAAGGAAGCAAAGAGGAGATCTACAAAGATGTTCACCACAGTGTTATTTATAATAGTAAGGGAATGATTGCGTAACATATGGTCCCACCCATATATAAAATACTGTGGCAGCTGTTAAAAAATACACAAATTTCTACTTATCGACATGAGAAGATGCCCAGCATATAACATGAAGTGAAAGAAGCAGGTCACACACAGTACACGCTGTGATCCTGTTTTGCTTAAATAGGCACATGTCAAAGGGTCTGGAAAGATTTATACCAGAATGTTATTAATGGTTATCCCTGGGGAATAGATTTACAGGTGGTTTTCATTTTCTACTTTAGATCTTTTTTTTTTTAAAAAAAAAAACACAAGCGTGTATCACTTTAGGAAAAGGCTTCTGAAAGGCTCCAATGAAAGAAAACAGTGTCTGATTTTCTTCAAGTACTTTGAGCTGCCAGGCACAGGAGGCCCACCTGATACAGGTTCACACGCAGATTTTAATAATGTAGAGAAACATCATGATTTACATGACAGGAGATGCGCTTTCTCTAGGAGCCCACCTAAAGGTCAGAGGAATCCGGGAGTACAGCAGTGATGCAAAGATAGTAACCAGCACACAGGATCCTCGCGTTGCTGGATGGTTAATGTAAGCTCCGGGCATCAAGGAAACTCATCCCCTCCTACAGTGGCAGATACCAGTAGGGGGTGGTGCCCGAGGACCACCATGGGCCCCCTCCCTCACACAAATGCCCACGCGTACACACACATGCATACATGCACAGGCACACACGTGAGCATGGGGTCACACTCGTGTGCACACAGCTGCACGCATATCCATGCATGCACACTGCCACACGTATACATACGCAGTCATACCCATGCACGTGTGCAAACAATCGCACACAGTTACGCAAGGCGAGTACACACACGGAGCGCTTGGATAAGGCTGTACCCAGAAACTTCTGCGGGATGCCATCGCTGCTCATTCACTCCCAGCCCGTGGGACGGCTGGTCACTCCCACAGAACCGGGAATTGGCTGCCGAGGAGAGTCAAGAATAGGCCCTGGTTGTGTTGTGACCTCACTTCTCTGGTATGGCCCTGCCTCCACTTTCCAACAGCAAATTCTAAATGTCAGGATAAACTTGTGGGGACCTGTGCTAATCTGGTAAGTTGACTCACAATATCAAACCATTGACAAGATTAGAAATAACCGTTTCCCCTGCAAAGGCTTCAGTGAACCTTAAAAGAGGGTCTGGCCAGTTATTCTCATTACTATTTGGAGACTAGTCAGATCAAGACCTCAGACTACAACAGATGGACAGTAAAGAGGAGGGAGGGAAATAAGAAAGAATGAAGTTAGTATTAAGTGGGAGACCAGGGCAGATGGAAAGACAGGAGGTTAGGCTGGTGCTGTGAGTTCCCCTTTTTCAGGGGTCAGCTCCTCACAAGTTCTGCAAAGAGGCGGCACCCCCACAAGCCAGGCAACACCCCATCAAAAAGGCAGCCCCACAAAGCCCTTGGTGTCAACTCAACTCGCTGATCCTGTTCGCGCCCTTGACCTCATGATGCCTCTCAACACCTCCCATCTCCGATTTCTTGTGGCTTGATTTTAAACTCTTTATGAACCTATTTGTTATATGCAGGGTGCTGTGTACAAGTTACATGAAATCAGACTGCAAATTGCTTAATTCCCTTCTCTGGCTCACACGGGTTCCTAAGATCCAACACACGTAATCCTCAGGCTGGTAAGACTCATTTTTCAGCAGCGGTAGGAGCCCAGTCCCCGCTCCAAGCTGGAGAAACTATACACACCAAGGAGCAGGGACTGGGAAAGCAAACACAGGGCGGACCGCCGATACCTCTCCCAACACGGCACCTGGCTGGACTTTGGTAGCAGAACCCAAGGAGCACAGGCTTGCAGTTCTGTGTATATAGACATTGTCCTGTGGTCCAAAGGATGTGTCCCTGTGGCAGATGGGAACCGGAGGGGTGGATACTGTCTTAATTACATTGCTTGTTTCCGGGTTTCTAAAAGTTTGGGTGTCACAGTTAAATGCTGATCCAGGGCCTAGACTTTGTTGGCAATGTGGGTAAATTAGACATTACTTTGCCCGTTAGGGAAGCCTGGCATATACGTGGAAAAGTCTGTATTTTAAATATCTTCCTCACTGATTTCATGGAAACCTTAGAGATGCTTCCTTTGGGGAGAAAACAAAACGTTATAGGCAGAATTTTACTTATGTTTTATGGCAAACTTTGTGGATGTTGACTCTTCATATTAGCCCAGCAGTTAAATGCACACACTAAGCAGCCATCCAGACTCATGTCGGGGGAGGTAGGCACGGAGAAGGAAAAGCACCCCCCCTCCCAGGTAGAAGGGGCCTGGGGGAGGTCTGGGTCACCTACAGGGCCAACTGCTTCTGTGAGGGCAACACTTCTTGGGGCCCAGCCTTGCCCCTGGGGGGCCCGTCAGTGCCCCACCCATCCGGGAGGGTCCCTATGTTCCCGGCCTTGGCTCCCAAACTGGAAGACCTGGGCCTCTTCTCTGTTTTAGGGTCTCCTGCCTCTCTGGCCCCCCCATCCACGCTCCCTAGGAGCCTCAGCCCCCAAATGACTCCGGTTTCTTCCTCTCCCACTCCTCGCCACTGTGGCCGAAAAAGGGACCACGAACTAAACCTGACAAGCTCAGGGGAGGCCCGCACGGCAGGCCCTCCAAACTCAGAGGCCGAAACGAAAGTAACCGCACAGGATGGTCTGAGCATAAAAACCCCCAACTAAGAGCGGTTGTGGCGGTAGTCGCAGCCTGGGCCCCTACTTCCCTAGACACGTTACTTCAAGCGAGCCTGTCTATTGTCTTTTCACACCCAAGGCGGTGCCTTCAGAGTGCCAGCCTGATGTCCTCTGCAGGCCCCTCGGGCCACACCCACCGCCCCACAGCACAGAACCCCTTCACCGTTACCTGGCTCCCCAAACACTGCCTATGTGCCCTAAGTGGTCACTAACCATCCTGCACCCACCGACGGAAAAGTAGGTGTCTGTTCAGTCCCAGAGGTTTCCTCCACTTTGCTAACACCAGTGAACGCCCTGTGACCCTCCTTAAGTTTCCTCCTTTAAGCTGCAGAACTGCCATTCTGCAGAGCATTTTCTCAGCTGGAGCTGCTGCTCCCCAGCCCCTGCCACGAGCCTGGAGCTGCTGCTCCCCAGCCCCTGCCACGAGCCTGGAGCTGCTGCTCCCCAGCCCCTGCCACGAGCTTGGGGCTGCTGCCTGCCAGCCCCGGCCGTCGTCCGGCTCAAATGCACACAGCAATGCTCGCAGGTCTGCACCCTCCCAGCGGGAGCCTCCAGTCCTCGCCATCTCGCCCTCCGCCCCGTCCGCGGGGTCCCTTCTCCCCCCTCGGCCTCTCGCGCCCCCATTCATTCCCCGGCGCGCCCCCCGCTCAGCCCCGAGCCGCCCGGGCAGCCGAGGCCACAGCACCCCGCAC